AAGTTTCAAAAAGTTATAGCCCGTTTTGAGAAAGTTAGAGCAGATTTTCTCTAAACTTCGAGTTTTTCGGGTTTTCGACTCGACCTTAGTATTTTGCTTTTTTCTCCCCCAAAACTGGATCAAAATCGATTCAAAAGGTGATATTCGTAATCACCGTGAAAGTTTGCATCGAATGATATAGTTTTAAGTGAAAAATAAGAACTTGCAATTCTTTTGAATTAGCGGCGCCTTATAAGTATAATCTGTGTAATACATGTTGCTCGTTTCTGAGACAGACGTCGCACTTTGTCGTGGACATATTACATATGTCAAGAACATTCTAGACATCCTTTTCTGGGCTCCGTCTTCTCCTTTTACCGAATTCAAGCGAAAGACATGAAAGTAAGACTTCAAGGACATAGCCGTATGAAATCGACATTGATCTGTCAAATCGAAATCCACTTGACTGACCCACTCGTATTTTAAGTTTGCGTTGGTCACAACTTCATTCGCATTTCATACACAATTCATCCTTCCATCCTTGACAGGTTGTCTCATCAGTAAATCGACTGTAAATACCCATTTCCTGAGAAAATCTTCATCGCGAGACGTCTTGATCGCTTGCCTGATCATCTTAGCAATAACAGCCAAAGAGAACGGATCTAGAGAGCCCGACGACAGTATGATTATAAACGAGTTTAAAACGAGGCAACATGAACTACAGGAGCAGATCGTAGAGATATTAAACGAGTGGAAATCAGTATGTTTTCTTATACATCCGTGCAGCGGCTGTAAAAGAGACACAGAAATAGTAGGTACTTAAATTTTTAACTAAGTAACTACGTAACGAAATGAGCTACTCATTACTAGTAACGAAATAACCAACTTCGTTGGTTTACCTGGTAAAGTAACGCCGTATTAACTAGTAAAGTGCCACCCTTATGGATAATAAGTCGGAAAACTGTTCTAATTATGAGATCATTTTGTGTACTAATTGTGTTGTGTAAGTCCATTTGCTAACGTTACACTATTTATAATAAGCTGAGTAATTTCTCCCACTGTTCAATCATAAAATCGTCTAAAATACCACTGATAGCTGCATTTTTTGGATATCTACTAGCACTAGTTGGTGAGAAATTAAACTAGAGATCAACTGCCCTGCAGGAAGGTTGGAAAGTAGACTGGATGAAACGGTAAACAGACGAAACTAGAACATCCAATTAGAACGTAACAGTTTAACTACTTTTCAAGAATAATTCCTATATCAGTTGATTCATTATCGTGTGATACATTCTGCCGTAGTCATACGTTAAGTCGTAACTGCTTTCAAAAGCCGTATACTTTCTACTACTTTACTACTTTATTCATCTATCCTATCTATGACTCTACCACTGTATATAAATATTCTATCTATATAAGCTATAGGAAGATCCAATGTGATCGGCGACTTCCTACTTAATTATTCGTCTCGACCATTTTTTAAGTCCAAACTGTTTATTTTAACACTGCTGGTTTGTTGTAGAAAAACACACAGTCAACCATACAACCAATAAAGTCGTAGAGTCGTAGATAGAACAGTGAGGAACCATATTCCAATCGGGATATCTACTCCGATCGAGCTGTATATTCCATTGGGACATAAAAATGTATCCTGATCGGGATATCGTAGCTCAATCAGGGTATAGTTTTCTTACACTTGGACCGTAGTTTGAAACCGCCCAAAACTAATTAATGTGGCACTTATAGTGTAAAGGCGATATAGAACACAACATATCAGCTGCCAGAACTTGAGTGATGAAAACGCTTCGGCATCTTTAATACTTTAAACTATTGAACGCAATTTACGCATCCGAAAACTTTTTTTGTAAACACATCCTGATTCGTCGTCGCTGCGCGGATGACGAAGCATGGTGGACGAGCGTGATTTCAACTGAATATTTCGCTGGATGTAGCTATCTTATGTATATTCAGAGTAAGAGAAAATGTCAAGATCTTTCGAGAAAGTGTAAAAATAGCTGGTAAAAAACGTACAATATCCCGATCGGGATTTAGAATATGAACCTGGAGAATTAGTTTAAAAAAGGTTGCTGACCGGAAAAAAGACTTGGTCACAAAGAAAAAGAATCCGATACACTGTCTAAATCCCGATCGGGATATATTTTGATTCAAAACGGGATATAGAGCATGAGACTCTACTGTAGGATACATAAATAAACTCGAAGAGCCGTAGAACCGACAGCAGAATTGGTAACTTGAGACCAACTATACTGCGCGTATATTGGAAAGTCGGCCGAGTGAAACGGTAAATAGACAAAATTAGAAGAGTCAGAAACTCATAATAGTTTGACTACTTTTCAAGAAGGATTTTTATATTCCTATATCAGCTGATTCATTGTTGTGTCACATATTCTACTATAGTATAGCTTTCACTATATCCAGCACTGTAGCATATATTCGCTATGAAGTAAATCACGTGACGATTAATTATCTCATACAGAAAACGGCAAAGTTCTTCAGAAAGATATGCTCATCTTCCAGGATGAATTATAGGTGAACTAAAGTATACATAGAAAAATTAACTTCAGATTGGTCATCTCCGACCGTTATAGATTTGCCTGATCTTTTTCCTGAATCTCTACGATCAGCTATAACCCAGAGTTGTAACCGGGCCTGCAGATCGGTCGGTCCGGTGCCGGTGTAAAAGTTTAGACCGACCGGCCTAGAAAGATTTTCAGACCGACCGGTGACTGATCAGTTTTTTGCCAGTTTGGAAATTCTTAAAAATTATCTCTTCTTCACTAAAAAAACTGAGTTTTTCTGCTCTCTTGTCTGTCTAGAAAATCTTTGAAAACCAGCCGGCTTTCTGCCGTTTTCTTACCGGTCTAAATATTTTTTCAAAACCGGCAGGTCTTTTGCAGCTTTTTGATCAGTCTAAATCGATTTTTGGAGCAGCCTGTGGCCTGTAGGCGCGGTTCGTTCCGCTGTTTTGGACAGGCCTCTTATTTTTAGACCGGTTACAACTCTGCTTTAACCTAGAATCAGTAGCTGAATCGAACTAGAAAAACGGTATGGAAAGAAAGAAGAATTGTGCTAGGCAACGGTCGCCTTGAAAAGCAATAAGTCTCCTTAGTTTCACTCGGTTGACTTAAAGAAAGAAAGAACTAGAGACGAACTGCCCTGCGGGCAGGTAATTTGTCACTAATTTTCGTTTCATTGTCAATTCTAGGGTCCACCAATATTTACTGTTTTTATTCACAATTACTTTTGGAATTGTAGCATGAGCTGCATTTAGTAAGATGTCATCTATTTGTTTTGCAAATTTATCAATCTCATCTTTATTTCTGATTAATGCTCCCTCTAAACTTGTTGCTCTAACTGCATCATCAATATTTTGCACGAATGTAGTCCAATCTGCCCTTGAATAGTTCCATCTACGCATGCTTTGAAATGGTTGAAAAGTTGATTTTTTCCACTCTAAATCGTGCAGATTAATTTCAATGAGTTCATGGTCTGTCTGATTTAAGTGCTGTTTTACTACAGAACACTTTGGACTAAACAATAATAGTTCTTCGGTATGAAGTGTTAAATCTATAATACTGCTAGATCCTTGTGAATCAAAATAGGTAGGCACTCCAAATTCATTGGCTATTTCCAGATCATATTCAGTTATTTTCTCATATAATTTTTTACCGACAGTGTTGTTTACGTGATCGCCCCAATGTTGATGTCTTGCATTTAAATACCCTGTGGGAATAATCTGATCGGTATGTTTCTTTATTTTCTTGTACACTTTGTCAATAAATTTAATTACATTTTGGCAACCGGGACGATTATAGACAGCAATAAAACAGGTTATTTTCGGTTATGTGTGAGCAAACAAAACTATTATATCGTTTTGATCTGTTTCACATTCAAATGCTCTCGTTATGTTCAATGATTTTTTAAAGCAGACTAATACTCCACCTTGTCCTTTTACACATCTTTTTGTCATATACAAATGGTCATTTTTAACAGCTGTTGCTGCATCATCATGATATTTAGATACAATAACAAAATCGTAATAATGTTGAGTGACAAATGAGTTCAATAATTCGGTACTAAACGAGATACGTTTTCTTGCATTCAATGATAATATATTTAATTGGCTATTATTATGATCGATAGTGGAACTAGTCATTGGGTCTTTTATTTAATTTTTCTACGATTTCAATGTATTTTTCACAATTTTGTGAATTCGCCGCATGATTCGAGCCACAATTAGCACATTTTAGGTTTTCTGAGTCACATTCTTCAACGTCATGTTTACCACCTCAATTCAAACAATGTTTTTCTGATCGGCATGTCAGATGTATATGGCCGAATCGCCAGCAATTAGTGCATTGAGTTGGAGTTTTTATTCTTTTAAAATTTTCAATAAAGCATCGATTACCAGCTAAGTAGACACATTCACAATCTAATAATTTTGGCTTAACTCTTTCATCAATAACTTCTACTTTAACTGTCGCTGTGTGAGGCTTTCGATAAACGTTCTTTTTAATTAACCAAGTTGCTTTTTCAATACTGAATTCAAAATCAATGTGAGTATTATTTTCTGTAAATTCAGCTGACGTTAAAACTTCATCAATATCAAGACTTGTCGGAACATTTTTTATGACGAAGCAATGAGATGATGATGCTCCTGGTTGGTAAACAGAATAATCGCCCTTAAATGCAGCTGTTTTCCAATTCTCATTTCGATATTC